CTATAAGAACAATACAAGCTTTTAAAAAAACGAATGTCAAAATGTTTCCAAAATGTCCAAAATATGTTTCCAAAATATTTTAGCTGCTTAGTTACATGACTCCATATTAATATTTCTATCAAGTGGTATTAAATCAGTACAACTTTAATGTTTTTACAGTAAAAGCACGTGGTGTTCTTACTACAGTACATATTCTTAGAAAAGGATAAAACGTTATAACTTTTTACAGAATATAAGCTTAATAATGTTAGAACAAGCACGTTAAAACCAGAACCCATGTAAGTTACCAAGTTAAAGACTTTGATGCAAATAAATATTTATGATGAAGGTGGAAGGTCGTGTACTTTTGTCCAACTGAGCAATCTTGCATTTATAAAATATATTGACTTATTAATGTTCAATGATTAAGATGCGGTAATACACAGTTTAAAATTATTAAAAGTCTAAAGAGTATACAACTTAAATTCTTAATTGGAAAAAGATGGTCCCTCAGCAGTGACTGGGATTCGAAACCAGGTGTTTTCTGGTGACAGCTCAAATGCTGTACATGAGACATTAAGCTTTATTAGCTCCACTTGGCGGTTTTACAAGGTGCTTCCAGATACTATTATATTTCAATTTGCATGTGGTATAATGCGGTATGATGCACCATGCCTACCGCATGCCACGTTAAGCTTTCACTGCTCCACCTGGCGGTTTTACAAAGTGGTGCAGTCCCACAACTGAATATTTCTAAAAAGCTACAGTATCCCACAGACACTGAAGTGCACACTACTGCAGAATCTCCCACGCATTCTGAATGGCTGGATCTGTAGGATACCATAGTGTGTATGAATAATATTTTTCATATTAATCACATATACCATTTTTTACCTTATTGACCAAGTACTTTTGGTGAGCATTGTTATTCTTTTAAAATGTAATTTTCTAAAATAAAAAGTACTAATTCTCAGCCTTAAGCTTCTGTAAGAAATGAAGACTTACCTGTCTTTGTAATCCTTTAACACCCTGTTAGTATAAAAAATGGCTGCATCATTCATCTCTTTGACATAAGGACCTGGTTTTTGTGACTGAAGCAGAAAAACATTAGAGAAGGAAATGATCAGTTAAAGTAATTACACAAGTAATAATCTCTAAAAAAAATGTGAATGAGGTTTCAAATACATTTTTTCATGTAAAAATATTTTGGTAAAATATAAACGATATAAAATATAAAATTTGAAGATCTTATCCTTATCAGAGAGTATTGGAAATTATAGAACCTCAAAGATAACTAGGGAAATTTTATAGTTGTAAGGAAAAAATATTTGGATCAAAACCAATCTAAGTCTAAATATCCAACAGGCTTTAAAATGATGTATGAACTGAGCAGTGAGTTATTAAGGAACAGGTACATACAATAGATACATACGAAAAAGTGAACCCCTAGTTTCATACACTCAATTAAAGAAATAATTAGAATCAGGTGTTTAAATAATTTGGTCGATCTTGGGGGCCAAGTTTAAAAGGCCCCATCTTGTATAATGATCAGAAACATTGTGACACTGGTCTTCACCATACAGGTTTTTAGATTATAAGGAAATCAGAAAGGACTGCTCATCGGTCTGAAACTTTTTCTAAGGATTTTGGTTTCCAACAAACCACTGACAATCTATAAATGGAGAAATTTCAATACCATAGCCACACTACCTAGAAGCTGTCATCTTACAAAAATCTCTAAAAGAACAAACCAGAAAATTAAGAAAGTTGCCAAGACCACAGAGTAACACCCAATTAACTGCAGACCACTCTTTTCTAGGTGAATGTGACTCTTCATGATGCAGCTATCATTACAAGAAGAAAAACACAAGGCTTCTGAAAGAATGGTCTCTGGACTCCTTGACATCAATGAGAAATGTGAAAATTTACTAAACATTGTTTAGTAAGACTGTGAGTATTCAATTCAAGCTCTATTGTCCCCTAGGGGAAATTTGTCTTACGGCACAGTTAAACACACAACACAACGACAAATAAACATCATCAAAAGGGAAGAGAATACAGTAGCGTTACAGGAGAAAAGAAACAAGAGACAAGGAAGTTATTTGGAATTTTCTAAAAGTGTAATTGCAGTGGGAATGAAAGATTTCCTGAGTCTGATGGTTTTTACACCTGGGGGCACAGAAGCATCTCCAAGATGGGAGAAGTGTGAATTTGCAATGGAGGGCATGAGACACACACTCCATGATGCTTTTGGCTTTCTTAGTCACCCTCTGTTTATAAAGAATGCTTAATTCCTGATTATTTTATTACTTATATTCACTAATTTACCAAGCTTATTACAATTACTGGTACTTATGTTGCGAAACCAACAAGTGTTAAGTTTAAGTGTATGTTAAGACACTTTCAATTGATGATTTGTGGAAAAGTGTAAGAATAGTTTTATTTACCTTATAGTAGCTGCGTTTTCTAAGAAAGAAGAGTCTCTGTTGACCTTTTTATAGTGTCACAACAGCTAGCAGCCATATCACTCTGCAACTCACAACTGGCAACCCACTGAAGCTAACCAGGTGTGAGCCTGGTCAGTACCTGGATAGGAGACCTCCTGGGAAAAGCTAAGGTTGCTGCTGGAAGAGGTGTTAGTGGGGCTAGCAGGGGGCACTCACCCTATGGTTCTTCTGGGTCCTAATGCCCCAGTATAGTGACGGGGACATTATACTGTAAACAGGCGCACTCCTTTGGATGAAACGTAAAACAAGTGTGGTCATTAAAAATCCCAGGGCGTTTCTCGAAAAGAGTAGGGGTGTAACCCCGGCGTCCTGGCCAAATTTCCCATTGGCCCTTACCAATCATGGCCTCCTAATAATCCCCATCGATGAATTGGCTTCATTACTCTGCTCTCCTCACCACTGATAGCTGATGTGTGGTGAGCATTCTGGTGCACTATGGCTGCTGTCGCATCATCCAGGTGGATGCTGCACATTGGTGGTGGTGGAGGGGAGTCCCCATTACCTGTAAAGCGATTTGAGTGGAGTGTCCAAAAAAGCACTATACAAGTGTAAGCAATTATTATTATTATAATTATTTGTCCCATTTTAGGTTTTTGTCAATGACCAGTCCCAAGTATTTATAGACATCAACCATCAATTATAGTGGGTTGAGGGTTTGTGGTGTTTTTCCTAAAAATCAATAATCAGTTCCTTTGTTTTTGAAACTTAACTTTAGGGAGAACTCATTGCACCAGTGAGTAGAATTATTTAGAATGGGCCCATGATGGTATTCTGTGTCCTTTAATTAACTGACCAGGGCTGTGTCATCAGCAAACTTAATGAGATGTCGATCTGTGTGTTTGCTTATGCAATCATTAGTGTACTAATGTACTAAATGTACAGCAGAGGGGACAAGACACAGCCCTGTGGTGAACCAATTGATGTGTAGGGAATGTCAGATAAGCACTTCCCCAATTTGACCTGTTGAGACCTGTTAGTTAGGAAGTCTAGCATCCACCTCATCAAGTTACCATTCAGATTGAAGTACTTTGAGAGTTTCTGTGCAAGCAAAAGTGATTGTATTGTATTGAAAGCAGAGAAGTCAGCAAATAAAATCCCTACAAAGGTCCCCGTTTCAAAGGTTTAAAGAGACAATTCAGAGATAACACTTTTGTTAAGCACTACAAGTCAGAATGGACTTATAACGGGATAAAACCGGTTGCAGCCTCTATCGTTCTCTGAGTTGGTACGCCGGTAAACAAGAAGACTGTTAATGAGCGTACCTGGGCAACTGGAATCGACTGAGAGAAGTTATTACCACTGCTATCTAGGGAAGATACAGTTATGGTTTGTGTGGAGACCCCCTCCCCCTCCTCTAAAGGGAGATCTTTCACAGGGGTTCACAACCTTTTTCTTACCAGTGTAAGAAAATTTATTTTTAATCTATTAGAATCACAATGTATCTTTCCTATCTACACAAACCAATATTGACTAATAAAATTCTTCAATTTTGCTGTAGCTGGGGAAAGAGGTAGGTTTTAGGAATGTTAGCAATGACTGTAGTCCTCGGTAAAGTTGCCTTATTATGATGGTTTAAGACGATGGATATTGTTTTGCTGTATAAAGACAGCTTCTGTTGGCTTTTGCACCCAGTTTATTCCTTCTGCTTCAGAACTGGACATTGCTTTGGATCCTTGTCCTAAACAAAATGCTATCTATAGCCATAATGCTCCATGCTATTTTTTTTAAGTAAGCAATGCAAAAATGCAGAGCAGAAATGTATAAAAACAGACCAGTTTAAGAAAATACTAAGGTCTGTTCAGTTAATGTCTGTGCTCTGCTGCTCCGAGTTTTTCCCAGTCCCGTAAAGATTCCATGAGCTTTCACTACAACTCTGTAATAAATATGATGAAATGTTTTGTGTGTTTTTCTCAGTAAATTCATTCAGCATTTTTAAAATTCATATAATTTTATTTTCAAAACACTTCTGGTTCAAACGTTATCTGTTTCGTAGTGTTTTAATTAATACAGCAGGTTTTTCAAACTTTTTTGCAAGAAGGAACCTCTATAGTATAGAATTAGTCAACGTATGTGCAATGGCCCATGACAAATATCTATTATTTATCAATAATAAACATTTGTGCTGTCTAATTTTGGGTCTGATTATTACTCTATTATTAAGCTGTACTGAAGTAAAAATGATACTCACTGACATTAGAGGTGAAATTATCTTTATAATTGATTTAATGACTGCCATGAAATTATCTTTATAATTGATTTAATGACTGCCACATTTTGTCAATTTATTATACCCAGGTTTTCACAAAATTATGAAGCACTGACTAAACATTCTAAATATTTACTAATTAAATCTTTTAGTACTTAGTCTGAGAGTAGAGTAGAGTGATTCACTACTTCCTGAACAAGGCTAAATGCAGAGGATGTATCCATCCTTGTTGCAGCTCAGCTGTTCCACTCTCAGCAGTAAAATATCTCCTACAGTGCCAATAGAAAGTCTACAACCCTTTCGAAAGTTACACATTTTCTGGCCTAACAGCCTGAAATCAAGATGGATTAAATTAGAATGTATTTACCTTTATTTACACATTGTAACACACAACTTCTAGGTGAATAATAAATGCCAAAACATTCTGAAAAATAACTACCAAATCCTAGAAAAAGTAGTTGCATAAATGAGCTACGTAAACGTTTGTGGAATCACTTTTTGCTTGTCACTGGTGTAGAGGCTGTTCTGGAAAACATTTTAAGCAGGTTAGGTTATCCAGAGGAGCTGCATAGTGACCAGGGTTGGAAATTCGAGTTAGCTGTCTTTGGGGAGGTTTAGGGATCTATAAGATTTGAACAGCTCCATGACACCTCCAGAGTGATGGGTTGATGGATAGCTTCAATTGGACACTTGCTACACAGTTTATCACCCCTTACTGCCACTCAGCATGAGGAATGGGACAGACACTTGTGAAGAGTTTATTGAATGTATTCCAGCAGATTTGATGCTGGGGCAGGAACTGTGTACCCAGTGAACATGGTGTTCAGTAGGCCCCTGGATTACTACTGGGACAAGTGGTCTCCAACAGAGTATCTAATCAGCCTCTAGGAAAACATGGGCAATGTACATGCATTTGCCCTATGACATCTGTCTAAAGTAGGAGCCAGGCATAAGAGGAAGTGTGATGTCCACCAGGCCGGATGGACCTTTTCTGCTGGTGTGCTGGTGTGGATCTATAAGCCTCAGAGGGAAAAGGGTCAGTCATTCACCATCCTGGGAGGGCCCCTTTACTGTGCTTAGTCAGATATTGGATGTGCTCTAGCAGGTAAGGCTCGGGCATTGTCACTGGTAGCTGTGCTGCACTGGGACCGGCTGGCCCCCTATGAAGACACAAGGACTCCACATCAGCCAATGGCTTAGACCCAGACAGGCCAAAGGAGCCAGGTCCAGAAGGTCCCACACAGGACCTTTCTGATGTATCCCCATAACAACAGAAGCCCCACTGGAGCTTTCAACATGTATCTGTATACCCACAAGCCTCTTAGGGGACTTTGAGTGTAGCCTTGTAAGACTATTAGGGGCCGATGGAAATGTCTACCTTAGGTGGGGTGAAGCGCGACACCTAGAAAGAAAAGAAAAATAACCACAACACTGCCTTAAGATACTACTGAGGGCAATGATGGCACATTAATTATGTAGCCTGTGCCTCAGAGGTGCTGCTGAGAAAAGACTAAGAGTTGCTGTACACACATACATTGTCTTTGTATGGTTGTTTCTTCCCTGTATCTGATCTCCCAATTTATTTAATCTCCCAAGTTAGACTCCTCACCAAGTTGGTGTTTGCAACCTTGTCAGCAGTGGGACCATCAGTTTACTGAAAACTGGACTCCAGTGGTCTATGGACAGGCTGTTCTGATGGTGAGCAGTAGCGTGTTTTTTTAAATGTTTTTGGTGATGTTTTTGTAGTTGAACCAATATGGAGGATGTATTTACCGCAAATCTGTTTTCATCCTGAGTGTTGTCTTAAAAAATTCAGTTTTCCTTTC